TAGGACTATTGTTCATGCATATATATGTGTGTGGTGGGATAAAAGAAGAAGGAGCCCTCATGATTTTCATAGGATGATAGTAGGGTTCCATGTTCCCACCACCCCATATTGGAAGTCCATTTCCATTTTCCTGAAGTAATAGAGTCTCAAGTAGTGTTTGGGGAACTTTTTGTGTCATATTAAAAGTATACAAGAATTAAATAGTTTGCATGGGCAAAGTCTATGGATACCATCTAGTTCATAGTTGGCATTTAATAACTTGTGCTTAATAAAAAAATGAATAAATGAATGAAGCTGAGTATAGATAGTATGTCTGCTACATGTTATAACAGTACAATGTAGTTCTCTGGAATTTAACCCCTGGGGAACAATTTGGGGTACAGTAGTCTCCCTGAATGGCACCTGATTGCCACCACCAAATAGAGTCCTTTTCACAAACACAGATTCCTTTGGTAGGACAAACTTCTTTCGGGAGAAGTAAATAAACTTTGGGGAGAATTAGAAGTGGTGTCCATTTGCCCTTTTGTTCCTGTCATTGAATGGGGGCTTAAATGTGCAGACAGAAAGGAGATGGGGGTGTATCATTAGACTTCTCTCACAAAATCTCCCTTTCCTTTGCTCCTGATACCAGTCCTTTTCTCATTATTAGTATTAGTAAATTCTCCTACTCCCAAGAATCTCTAGAACTCCTCCCATACCTAATTGCTGAGGAGCTTGTGGAGTCTCACAAGCAATGCAACTGTTACGTTTTCCAGTGAGTCAAGCAACACAACATTGATTTTTTCCTCTTTCTTATTCAAGAGATATGAAATAAATATTAGGCAATACTTTCTCTTGGAGGAAGCACACACATGTACACACAGATTCTAATTTCATAGGAAATTTCTAGTTGAAACTTTGATCTGCTATGTTTAAAAACTGTTGCAATAAAATATCACTTCTTAGTGTTTTCATATAAAGGTGAGAACTTTAAATTAACCCAGATGCTTTTATCTAACTTTTCTTCTCATGACAACTTTGATCATCCCCAGGGTATCAGGGCACAAGACAAAGCCCCACAGGAACATAATTTTTGTACTTTAATGCATTAAAAGAAATTTAATAATGAGTCCATGATACAATCAATAATTCATGGTTATATTAAGGAACCCAGTAGAAGAGGGAATTACTTATAAAATAATTATGTTATTTGGATAGAGAATTCATTTTTTTATAATGCTAAGACTTCTGCTAACTAAAACTTTCACAGGAAGACAAATCGATATGACAAAATTCCATTTGACTTCATTTGTATATACCCTAGAGCAGTGGTTCTCAAATTTCATGCATCAGAATCATCTAGGGGGCTCACCTCCAGAGTTTCTGTCAGTAGGTGTGGGCACAACCTAGAAATCTGAACCTTTAACAAGTTCCCAGGTGATGCTGGTTCTCCTGCTGTTCCAAGGACCACACTTTGGGAACCTCTATCCTAAAGTACACAATATAGCCCTAGGTACAGAGCAGATTCTCATGCATTCTATGTCCATGCAAATTATTTGAACCATAGTGATGGCAGGCTGACTTGACTTGTATGGACTATGGGGCAGGATTAGTAAGCTGCTTTCAGAAGGATTTCACTGTATTATAGACTTTGTGACACTAAAGATCTGAAGATCTTCCATATTATACCTTAATATGAAAGCTGGTATAAGTATGCTCTTGGGATTTTTCTTTTAGAAACTTCTCCTCTGACTTGAATCTGCTCTAACCTGAGGTCATAGACCAAAGACTATTCAATTCTTTAGCAGTAGAAATGTCCTGCTATACTCCCTACACTAACCAATAGTCTTTACCTATACTCAATAGAAGAGAATTTATGCCATAGGAATGACACTCCTGTAGAACTTTATCTATGCCTGTAGATCCTTTATCAGAGGCCAAAAGCAGACCTGCCTCCTAAATCCTAGCTCCTTTCAGTGTAGAAGGGTTCATCTCCAGCATCCATATGATGATCATTATTCATGAGACAATGGCCAGGCCAGTGATCACAGGAGTTCTGCTCATAACAAGCCACTTAGTGGGCACCCTTACTCCAAGTTTTCATTAAGACACTTATTCCAGATAGTTGTCCTTTTCATAAGCATCACAATACTTCTCAGATGGTTTTTGTATTGAAATGTGAAAATGTCAAGCATTCCCTCCCCAACCCACCACTCGTCTCTTTGTTTTCTCAGGTTGTGATGAATAACTTAAGCCCAGCCTGGAAATCATTCAAAGTATCAGTCAATTCTCTATGCAGTGGAGATCCAGACCGCCGGCTGAAGGTCAGATATATATGTCTGAGAAATGCAATTGTTTATGTATTTAACTCTCCTCTTTCTCCTCATGTGAATGTTGGAAAACCCAAAATTTTCTGTACTGCTTACCCAAATCTCTTAGCATCTTGAAGGAAGATGAAGGGGATGTTTCTTCTGCAGGAGCCACTGAAGCTCATGAGATAGTCAAAGATAAATCCCAATTGTGTTACGTCAAGAGGGAAAGTCCATGGCTTCTCAGAGATAAACTGTGGCAATAAGTTCATGGCGTGATTGGGAGTTATTAAGAACACAAAAATTACTGTATCAATTATCTATTGTTGCATAACAGATTAATCCAAAATGTAGTAACTGAAAACAATAACCATTTATTTAGCTTATGATTCCATGCACTGGCAAGTTGAGTTCCTGTAGGAGGTTCTTCTCTTGATCTTGCTTGGATGCCCTCATGTATTTGCAGGGTGGCTCTGCTTCTGGGCCTTGACTGGCTATCATCTGGAATGACTGGGTGTTTGAGCCATTTATCTCTCAACATTCAGAAGGCTAGTTTGGCCTAGTACACACAGCAACCTTAGAGTTCCAAAAGAGCAAGAACAGAAGCTGCAAAGTCTCTTAAGGTCTAGTCACAGAATGCATAGGAGGTCACTTCCTCCACATTCTGTTGGTCCAAGCAAGTCACATGGCCATCCCAGATTCAGGGATGAGGGTGAGGAAATTGACTCTGCCACTTGGTGAGAGGAACTGCAAAGTATGGTGGCCATTATTTTCAGTCTACCACAAATGTTTTTTGGGTATTGTGGGAATATACAAGTTGGAAGAAAAGACACATTGTGAGGGTGACCAAAGGAAGACAAGAGGCTGAATGCCAGAAGCAGATTCCAGGAGGCATTTTTTATGGTCCAAAAACTGACCCTCCTTCTACCTTGGAAGTCCAGAAGCTCCATGTTATCAATGCCCCCAAGTTGATTCTACCAATTCAGAATAACTAAGTAAAATCGGTAGAAACCAGAGCCTATAAACCTAAGGGCCAATCAATTCATATTGAGTGAGCAACATGTCCCTCAAGCAGAGTCAGCATTCACCTCAGTTTAATCAGGGCATTTTCTCTATGTGGGCCAGCCATAGGGAAGACAACTATTAGACGACTACTATATTAGCCTGAAAGCCTGGGACGTCTGCCTCCACTATGGGAAGATGGGTTCATTCAGCAGACTAAATGTTCACGTTGATCTTTCAGGGCACCTAATTTCCTGGAAACTGTTAGATGGGCATTGCCAATGTTTGTCTTCGTAACTTTACATTTTCCTCATCCATTTTGCCTCACAAAACTTCTTGTGATAGAATTATTTTGATTTGTCAGCGTTGTCAGATTAGAACCGGTTTTCTCTAATGTGACCTTATATATCTTTGCTTAAGACCATTCAGTGTGGACTTGGTGCTTGAACTCTCAGTAGACCACTTACTTCCACGTTATTGAGGAGAAAGTCAGAGTTTCCCTAATATCTTGTGTCCTGTAAGAGCTAAGATACTTTAAGCTTCAATTGGCATCAGAACTGCCTTTTACGTCAAAATCAGGACTCCTGGCTGTTTGAGACTCCATGTGTCAGCTCATATGTGGAATGCCAAGGGCTTTAGCTTCAGGCATAGGGTGATGATTAACGTCTGTATTCTGAGCAGCTCCATCCCATTCCTAGCAAGATAATTGACCCTGTTTAGGATAGAAATCAAATAATATGTCCATTAGCAATAGATCAACTTTGTCATATGGAGTTATTAATTGAATAAAAGGAGAGGGTTGTATGTAATTGAATAAATAAATGCAGAAAAGCAGCACATTATGGCCTTGTGAATGTTTTGCCATCTGTAGAGGAACAAGTAGGAGTAAAGGAGATAGATGATGAGTGACAGATGAGAAAGAAAGAGAAAGAAAGAAATAGGGTGTTGGAGAGGGAGCAGTAGGAAGGGAAGAAGGAAAGGATCGGAGCTTCTCAACAGCTGCACATCTGACATTTGGATTTTGTTGTAGGGGCCTGACCTATGCATTCTAGGATGTTTAACAAACAGCATCCCTGGCTACTTGATGTTAGTAATACTCCACTTACAGCCAGTCTTACATCAGTCTTACAGCCAGAAGTCTACTCAGACATTGCTAAATGTTTCCTGGAGAGTAAAATTACTCCTGATTGAGAACCAATGGTTTCAAACTTAACATGCATCAGAATCACCTAGATAACTTGCTAATGTGTGTGTGTGTGTGTGTGTGTGTGTGTGTGTGTGTGTGTACAGAAACTCTGAGTATTTAGTATTTACAAAGTATATATTTATATATATACTCAGAGTTTCTGATTCAGGAGGTCTAGGGTGGGCCTGAGAATTTTGCATTCTAACAAGATCATGGGTAATGCTGCCACTGCTGGATTCAGCCCACACTTTAAGGATCCAGGGGTAGACATTTGTTTCTTCATTATGACTCTCCCATGGCCTAGTGTCTCCACAGCAATTTCCTTTACCACCTTTGTTCTGCCCAGCACTTGTACCTTTCTGCACTGTCCCAGCCTTCTCAGCTTTGCACACACCTTTCTCTCTTCCTGAAAAGCCTTCCTCAGTCTGCTTTTCTTTAAACAGGCTACTTTTCTTCAGGCCTCTTAAATCGCCCTCCACTTTCAAAAAACCTTCCTCTGTAGCTTCTGTGGGATACTTTCTAACCCTTTCTACCTACCCCATTAAACTACTTCTCAACTTGTTTTGAAAATTTCTGTGTACATCTCTGTCTCCTCAGTAGACAACTTGTCCTTTTCAGTTTGCTCCTTCGGGGTAGAACCATGTTTTGTTCACTGTGTATACAGCTGTCTAGCATAGTGCTTGGCACAGAGTAGATACCCAGTAACTTTTTAAAAAATGTTCATTTATTTATTTTGAGAGGTGGGGGAGAGAGGGAGAGAATCCCAAGCACCCAACATGGGGCTTGATCCCATGAACTGTGAGATCATGACCTAAGCCTAAATCAATAGTCGGATGCTTAACTGATTGAGCCACCAAGACGTGCCTACCCAGTAACTTATTGGAGAGTGAATGAATAGAGGTGTGAGGGAAGTACTGAGAGGTTACCAGGGGGTATCCTGGGGCAGGGACTGGAGCGGAGAATTGCCCACAGCAGTATTTGGTATGCTGGAGTTTCCTAGGCCACAAAGCCAATGTTGCACTCACCTGCTCACAATATCCAAATGCAGTTTTCTGAAAGGCAGGATAGACTTCCTGTATTGCCCTTTACTTGTATTCATTATTTTGTCACAAAGGCCACTGTGAAATTTTCATAATGCTGTCCCTAGCTAGCTTTCTCCAAATTAAAATGGCAACATATTGGCAGGCAGCATCTCTGTCCATATGGGTGTCATTCTTCCTACCACCAAAGAACATTAGAAAGTGATTTAAATTTTTTTTAATTTTAAAAACACTCTGTCAGGTTAGATTTTAGCAATCTTAGCAAAATTTTGACACTTAGGTCTTTGTCCCAAATGAGGCTTGGTATCTTTAATTCTCATTTATTCAGGACCCACATGAACACCCAAGTTCAAATAACCAGCTTTTTCTGCTTTACTTTTATTTATTTATGCTGTACTCTTCCTTTATGTAAAAAATAAAAGCATTCAAAGAAGCCTTTTTCAGAAACTGGTGTTTTAACTTACTATGGAAATATTCAAACATACATAAAAGTAGAGAAATGATGTGATAACTCCCCATGCCCAGTACACAGCTTCAACAATTATTATCTCATGGCCAATTTTACTTCACACACACCCCTAAAACCCATTTCCCTCTTCCTCTCCCCACTGGATCATTTTGAAGCAAATCCTAGACCAGGGCCAGCTCATCCATTAAGCCCAGCAAGCACAGTGCCAGGACCCACCAGACTTTCAGGAGTCCATGAAAATGTTTTCGTTCTTTTAAAATTAGAAAGGAAAAAAATGAACTTATAAATAAGATTGAATAAAATGTTTTATTTTTTTTCTCACCTCAGAAAGCAATGACATTTTTAGAATCCTAAAAATCTACTATGGTGGAAGGGGACCCATGAGGGCAAAAATGCCTAGGGCCAATGAAGGTCAAGGTATGGCCATGTCCCAAATACCTTATCACATCATCCCAAAATGCTTCAGTATAAGAATAAGAATAAGGAATCATTCTATAAACATAACTACAAAGCCATTATATAATCTGATTATATTATATATCTAAGAATATTAACTAAGCCTCCTTAATACCATCAAATATTTTGCCACTATTCATATATGACTGATGGTCTAATTTATTTAAAAAAATGTTTTTGCACTTTTTTTTTAAAAAGGGGGATCTAAATAAGGTCCAAGCATTGAATTAGATAAAAATACCTCCAAAGTTCTCTTTTAATCTGTTAGTTCCTTCTCCTTTTTTTTTCCTTGCAGTTTACTTATTGAAGAAATCAGGTTGGTTTACCCTGTAGCATTTCTCATGTTCTGTGCTCCCTATAAGTGAGGAGTTAGGACTTGATCAGATTTGGGGTCTGTTTTCTAGCAAGAATGCTTTATAAGTGATGCAGCTTTCTTAGGGTGTGAATAGTCATTGAGGAACTTTGCCTACATCCATTTAGTTAGGGCTTCCAAAATGGTAATTTTCCACTTCTGTCATTACTTCTTTATCTGTTGTTTAGTGTCTTCTATAAGGAAAAGCTTTTCCTTCAATAACTATTTGGCTCCCTGAGTTGTGATTCATACAGGAAAGACAGGAAAAATGGTTTATTTTTCCTTTCTTTTTTAACCAATTTTCAGAATAACAAATTAGTTCTCTGGCATCCTCCATAGGTAACTAGTGAAGTCCCCCAATATTATTAAGAATTTATAGATTTTTTAATATATCAGTCTTTCAATCCATTTCAGTTATTACTATTCCTTTGAAATCTTGAATTGCTGCATGTTTAACCAATGAAAACTGCTTTAAGTTAGCTCTTGAGTTCTTTTGACATAAACTTAATA